TTTTGGGCCACAGATCTTAGGAATTCCCCAAGCCAATCAGACGCGTTCTGCCAGTGGTAGGTCAAAAGCTCAGATTTAGTCAGATTCGAACATGGCCGTCTCGATTTGCTTGAGGGGGAACCCAGTAACCCCCTTGATTTTTACCCAAAGAAGGAATAAACCAGCCCGATATAAGCACCCCTAAACTGACCCGAAAACCCATAAGAGACACAACCAGCTTGGCCGTTTCGCAACTGATGCCCCAATTTGTTTACAAAGGCAGATGAAAACCCAGCAGCCGCCTCATTTATGGGGAGCTGCAACGAACCAGCTTGAACCACCTCTATATTTGAACCAAAGGCAGTGGCAGCTTGGGAAAATTTAGCCCCTCGTTTGTGGGAAATTCAGGGTCCCCCCATGTCCCAGAGGCTCGACCTTTTAAAACCTTGACAAAACAACGGCTGCCAAAGCAGGAAAAGATCCAAACGTTGACCAAACCCTCCCTCTCACTTTGTGAGTTGCACTCACTTTTCCAGATTCTTGCAGGATTAAAGCTGGATACCTCAAAGCCTAAAACGGGGAAAACCATTTGGCAAGTGTCAAAATAAGGATTTGGACCTCAAAAAATGCTGCCTGCCCTTTTGTTCACTTTCGGTAACCTTTTCGCCTTGCTCCTTTCCAAACCAACCAACCCTAAAAACCAACCCAAACCTACAAAAGCACACCTAAGATCCTCCCCGCGGCCCGCGACTGCAACTCGAGCTTCAAGATGGCGTCGTTCTTCTCGCTGCCGATGGACAAGCCGGAGATCACCTCGTGCAGCTGGAGGTAGCCGTCCTCGTGGCTGTTGAAGGCCAGGAAGGCCTTGCGGTCCAACACCTCCTGGACCGCACCGCAGCGCGGAAGCGCAAGGGGCGGTTTTGAGGCACGTCTTTTTGGGGACCCAACTTCCTTGCGGCCAAGGCGGGGGTGTCGTCTTTTTTTAAGAAGGTCAAAAAAAGGCGGGGGTTCCTGTTGGTTGAAAATTTAGAGCCACCAAAAACAGAGGAGTAGCCTCCAAGAAAAAGACACCTAGGATTTCGGAGTACCTCACCTTACACCTACCCCTCTGTCCCACCCAAGTGAGGGGGGTAGTTAACCCAAAGACCAACTGAAGGTTGGAGGCATGACCCTTTTGCCAATCCGGCCAGGGAAAGCCAGTACAACCAATCTGAACCTTTTTGGTGAGTGAAACTGAGGTCCTGGCGTGTTCGAAGTGGACAACTTTCTGGCCTTTGTGAACATCATGGTGCCTAGCAAAACCGTCGTGTCTCCTCAACTTGCGGAGAATCCAGAATTCCGTCATTTTTAGCCTTACCTCACGAAAATTGGCACATGGAGACACTGAAATGGGGTATTCCATGGCCCCCTCCCCCCTCCCCCAATTCCATGTCTTCGGGGTGGAGGAGTTGCCAGCTCCGGCGAACTCGCTCCTTGTGCTTTTGGTAGGCGGCCATCTGCTCCGCCGCCTTCTCCGAGTCCCCGGTGTGTTGCGCCACCATGCCCCGAGCTGCGTCAGAGAAGCCCAGCCTGTCCTGCGCGCCAAATACGGGGATCGCTTCGTTTGTCGTCATCTCCATTTCGACAAAGCAAAAAAAAAAAAAAAGTCCCCAGAGTGGCTTCCCTTTTGCGGAAACTAGATTCTTTGCACAGGAGGCCTGGAAAAAACAAATCGAACCAACCCCCACATCTTGTGTTGGTCTTCCTTGCTTGGCCTCCTGAAGGGGAACCATTTGCTATTGAGCGCCCAGCGTCCGAGGTGAAGAGCGAGAAGAAGATGCTCGCCTCCGTCCTCTGGAGAACGCCATCCCCGTCCTTCCAGACAGTGGGAAGGCAATGCTTGCTTTAAAGCAAAAGAGCCCGTGATCCCCTGGACAATGGAAACCAGAAGGATGCTTGAATCACGAAACGATAGCTAGCTACACATGTCAACATAGCTGCCTCGGCTTGCTTCCTAAGAGGGGGACAAATCGGCAAATCCGAACTCCTAGGCTTGATACCGTATACCTACCCCAAACGGAGGCGGCCAAGTCGGTCCTTGTCATGGCGCTTGAATGCATCCACGATGATGGGGAACAACCTCCCGTTCAGCTCCCGCACGGCCTCCGGCTTGTTCATCAAGGTGTGATCGCAGTGCGCCTTCAAAGGCGACTCCCAAAATAGCCCCCGCACCCCACCCAAGGGAAACTCACCTTCAATGGGCCAGAAAGGTGACGATGAATGCCAAAAAGGGGAGCTGGCGTCTTGGGGGAATGGAGAAAGTGGGGTTCTTGCTGGTACGCGTAAATCATATAATGGCTACAGAAAGAACTGAAAGGGAAATAATTGCAACACTAAAGTAGTATTCCAAAAAGTATGCTCAGGAAGCAAAAAGGAAGTGGCTGCAATACTAAAATAGAATTGGGCCCCAAAATCCCCCCTTGTTTGGACGTCCCAAAAGTGAGCCTATTTTTTTCCAGCGCCTCCATTGTTGAGGGTGGGGCCCTTTATTCATCAAGTGCCAACATTATGCCCAATACGCCTTCTCCATTACACAGCCGATGCATGGTTACAGTACTAGGAGATGCTTGGGAGAAGTGTTTGCCCCGTGCGCCTGAGAGGAAGTGTTGCAGCCTTTTGTTGCCCTGATTGAACCCGAGCGCGGGGAAACTGAACCCTCCATTGAACCAGGGGCTGAAGAGTATCGCTGAAGGGAGAAACCCCCCCCACACCTACCAGGCGTTCTTTGATGCTGGGTCGCTACCATGCTGGTTGCAGGGATTGCCTTTTTTGTTGACACCATGTCTGGCAGAAAGAAAAGCCACTCTGCGTAGAAACTCCCTTTCAAGGGCCAGGCTTGATTTTCCACAGGTCAGACGGAGCCCATGGAGCCTGGTGGCCCGCTGGCAAGCTTAGCCCTTTGATCCCCACGCCGTGGAAGTAATGAGGACCTCTTACACATGATTATCCATTTACCCACCAGAAGGAGAAAAAAAACACCATGGGAATTGAATTGTATGAAGAGGATTATACCCCTTCCCTATAGATTGAGGGCCTCGCTGTAGCCCTACGACCATCCTGTCGCCTTGACGAGCTGGAAATACTTCTGCAGGAAGACTGCAGCAGTCCCGTCATCCAGCACTGGTGCCTGGCTTGCCCCCCGCAAATAACTCCTGGCTTACTCAAGCTGCAGCACTCTTGGAAACAGGGCAGCTGTTTGATTGCTTTGCGGTTGCAGACTAGGGCTCCCTATATTCCCCTTGAAGCACCGAAAAGGCTTTAAAAAAAACAAATCCATGTTTGTATGTTAAACTAAACGAACCCTGGAAGCCACCATTGTCCAGCCGAACAGTGAACCTAAAACACGCAAATAGCTAGGCTGCAGATGCCGCGGATGCCGCGGATGCCGGGGATGCCGGGGATGCCTGAGGCTGAGCAGCGCCCATCCGCGCCTCAGTTGCGACCAAAGCACAAGAAGACGAGTCACCTTTTAGGGGGCCCTTCCGAAACACAAGCAGAGAAAGCCGAAGGCGGGTGGGCCACCTTTTTCGGGTTTCCAAAAAGTAGACGCTAAGATCAGCTGAAACCAGATTGGGTCATCAGATCAAATGGTCAATTCGTCTGGCCTTTTGGGGACCTAGAAGTGAAAGGTGAACACCAAAAAGGGGTCTTGACTAAAACTGGACTCTCTCTCGGCCAAAAGCTCGGACCTGGATTCGCCTTGCAAGTGAGCCACTTGGGCTGGCGCCCCCGTTGCGAACCGCGCAGGGCTGCCCCCAGGCGAAGTTGCGAAGCGCGCCGGACTGCCCGGGGAGGGCATCTGGTAGCCCGGCGCTGGGTAGTAGGGCATGGCCCCGGGAATTTGCATCGGTGCCTTACCAAACCCTGGACACGTCATGCCGAAAATCAACTCTTTATCTTGAGACTTCCCACCAACCACGTACCCTTGTAAGTCTTGTCGTCAAGCAAAACCAAAAGAAAACTCATTGTTGTCGCTTTAAGACATGCCCATTTGTGCATGCAGACTGGCCGAAAAGAACACTGCCAACACCATGGCCGTCGCCAAAGCCACCTTGAATAGGAATCATTGGCATGGCTCTCCAAAATCCCGTGGTTGAGAGGTGATTGATGACCGTCCCTACCCAAAAAGCCCAAGTCACGGGGTCTTGCTACCACGGCACATACGAAGAGAAGCAAAAGATCAAAGAAACAAAACATACCAAGATCACGTACCACTGCATATGAACAGAACCCCAAAACGAACCAAACCCAAAACGCCTGACATACGAACCGCCAGAGGCGCGTAGGGCTGAAACGTCTGTGCCGGCATGGCTGCGATCATCCTGCCAAACACCTTCAAGTGTGTGGATCGGCGTGGCTTAGGCTTGGAAAACCGGGGCGCTTGAGCCAAAATGGCGTCCAATGGGCGTGGCCTATTTGAGAGCCGCCAAATTGGGGGTGGCTGAGTTGAGGCCAGCCTTTTTTTGGGGTTGGCTTTGAAGGGAAACCAAAGAGCTTCCACCACCAATTTGGGGGGTCGCCTGTTTAGAGACAAACCATGAGTATCCTATCACACTTGCAGCATGCAAAAAGAGCCGCACTTCCAAAACGGCGCTTTGACCATCCAGTTTTTGCAGGGGGTGCCAGCGCCAGGACCATCGAGCATGTTCTCTGCAACAATGGACACGATGGCTTCCCGAAAAGGAAGACAGTCTTCCCAAGCCCTCCTCTCAGATTCCATGATTGAGGGTGATTCTTTCTTCCTTGGGTAACCTTTGATGGGCATTATTCACATGTGACTTTCTCTCCGGCTACCTTTGAGGGCGCTCCAAGCATTGGGATTGAGTATGCGAGCCGATTGCCATGAGCATGCGCCAAAGCTTCAGCAACACTGCAGCCTGACGTTTCTGCCCACGATGAGCAAAAACTGGATGCTTCCCCGGCCCTGTCCCTGCTTGGCCTTACCCCCTCCCCCCTACAGTCCCTACAGGCTGCCAAGCGGCAGACACTTTGGTCAAAATTCGCAGGCTCCAGTGTGTCTCCGGAATTGGCCATCGCCAGACGGACGGTGTCCGCAGAGTAACTGGGCGCAGGAGATGGGGATCTGTGAAAAAAAGTGATCGTAATGGGGAGGGACCAGGGAGGCACCCCAACTTTCCGCAAGCAGCGGAAAAGAACACGGCGAACAACAAGGGAACCATCTGGCTTAAGGATAGAGGATATCTTTGACCGCATCAAAATGCCCTACGTTGCGCCTACTCATGACTCTCGCGCCGATAACCTTTTCGACCCCCCCACGAAGACACAAATCAGAGTCCATGTTCAGAGTGTGAATCCCTGGGTATGTCACAAGCGTGAATTGTTGCACTTGGTCCAGAAGGATTGCATTTGGAGGGCTTCTCAAAATTGTTTGGGAAGGTTTCCCTTCAAACAACCAGTTAGAGGGTTGAAAATAGAAATAGACCCAGATCCACCTGATATGCACCACCAGCAATGCTCAAAGACCTATCAGAAGCCATACACTGTATGCACAACCATTGCACATTCTGACACACGGGGGCCTGCAGGCCCCATGTTCAATACCAAGGCTAGTCCTGCAAGCTCCATGTTTAACGCAAACGTTTGCCCTGCCTTGTCCCATACTCCCCCCCTTTATCGATCGAAGTACGGGGCTTACAGTCAATGTGGAATCTTTGCAAAATCAGGGGCATCTTGTCCACAAAGCTAATTTGCAACAGTCGTGAAACAAAGCCCGAACAAGGCCTTAGCAAGCGCCTAGCAACACTCCCGCCTCTGCGGCAACCGAAATGAGCCCAGCTCAGTCCCGCGCTCAAGATTTGGATTACACGCGCTTCCGCACTAGTGGGTGCCAGTATACGGGCAATCCTTGGGGGAGCCCTGCCGGGGTGGGAAACTCAAGCAGAACGGTCAAGGCGCTTCTTGATGATGTCCTCCACCGTGAAGAAGTTGCCTTTGGACTTTGACATCTTTTCCTGATCACGCGGAGCACCCACACCACCACTCACTGAATTCACCCTACGCCGCTGGAAGTTGCGAGAGCCCCGTTGCTGACGGCGATTTGGTAAGCAATGTCATTCTGCTCACCACGGTAGATGATGGCGAATACCGTATCCCCTGTTGTGGTGGGGAGCCTTCTTACAAAACCTGCTGTGCACTTGCAATGTCTGAACGCCCGACACATGCTTAGGGAAACTGACGCCTCTGTGCCAAAATTGGCCATCCCCAAAACCACGTTATCATTTCTAAGGGACGTCCCTTGGCATCACGAGAAATGGCACTTGCATTCTAGACTTCCACAACCACGGCTTTTCTGTTCGGAGATAAATAAGCACATGGCCGGACTCCCAAATGATTCACGCCGATCTTCAACCCTGCCAAAGAAACACATAGCGAATTGAAACCTGCCACCCTGCCAATGGTTCTTGCCAACAGGTGGTGATCTACACGTTTGCTTGGATGTTAAACAAAAAGTCTGTCCCCTGATCTAATGTGGGCAGGGCCCCCTTTTATTCGAAAAATCAAACGATGCCCACAAAAAAGGGCAAGTAATGCGAAGTCAAGATAAATCAACCCTGGCTGACCAATAGGGGGCTGTCCCATCTATATAAAAAGAGAACTCGGATCACGTTTTGGGGGCCATCCCGGCCATCCCCTTCTTCCATCCGCAATGTGTTTTGATCAAAACGGAAATTGGGAAAACCTAAGTGATGAGACCTTCATCACGGGTTTTGCCCCCCCGTTTCACCCGCGAATCGAAGCCATGTAATTGTCCAAGAAAGATGTCCTGCAAACTGGGGGGTACCAGCTGCAAACCTACGTTACATATGGGTCTATTTGGAAGTGGTGGAGCCTCAATGTGGACCAAAACGGGGTCCTCGAAACACAGGCACACCATAATTCCCTAAGGATCCTGGGGCCTGGTATGAAGAAGCCGTTGCCCCACACCCAGAGGTGTTTTTTTTCCTGGGTGTCCCCGCATTGTTCACCAGCAGCCAGCCGTTGCAGAAGAAGCTCCGAGGCCACATGTCTGGCTCCTTCTCCTCAGACGATTCAGCTCGAGCGCTTTGGCCGATTTGCCAGAAACCCACCTACAAGAAGGTGACTTTCAGGTTGTCCTCACACCGCCGACCCCTCCTCGCTCCCAAATCTGCAAATCTACGCAAGCATTGCGATTGGGTGGCACTGAATTTATAAACCTGCTCAGTGTCAATCGGGGGTGAACCCAGGTTTAGTAAACCTGCTTCATTCAAATTGGGAAGGCCATTTGCCATTTCAGCGAGCAAACATTCCAACACCGTGGGCAAAGCCAAGTTGTCGCAGCCGGCAACACCTAAGGCCAGGACCCATACGCAGGCATGGTTGTAAAGTGCCTCAGTCAGCTTTCAAGCAGACATAGACCCATAGTCTACGCTTCAAATGCCCTAGCCCCAAACCTAGACTTGGCTAAGACCCCAAACCCGTCACCGCTGGGGATAACAACAATGTCAGATTTCGAGAAAAAAAAATGGCTTCATGATGGGCGACATGGAATCGAATTGAAACATTGAAACATCCTTACACAACCCAAGCCTCCACTACACAACCCAAGCCTCCACTGGCCATGAGCAAAATCGACTTGAAGGCAGTTGATTTGAAAGCAAATCGACCGGGAGACCCCCACAAGACGAGAGCACCGGAGCTCTGCGATGCATTGGCTTGCACTGTGCTCTCTTAGGCTTGACATTGGCCTCCGTGGCACCTCGTTGCGTTTACTCCCCTGGCTCAAAAGTTGCATGGGTCCCACAAGTGGGCTCAAAAAAAAAAACTGAAGGCGCCAGCTGGCCAAGGCTCAGCCAAAACCATCTGGGTTTGAATAGTTATACCCATCATGTTGGCATTTTTGGTCAGCAAAGATGCAAAGCTTGACCGTTTCGGAGCAAACAAACAGGCAAGAACACAACAGTGCTTGGGGGAGTTCCTTCCGTAGACCTGCCGGGTGATTCGTAAGTGAACCCTACCGCTAGCACCAAACAGGGCCGTCGGATGGAGGGTCTCAGAGTCTCAGGCCATGGTCAGGTGATTCTGGATCAGGTCCTTCCCGGAGACCCGGAGGTCCATGGGGTACCAGAACCTGCACGCCCGGAACCTTGCAGTGAACGCAGGCGTTTTCTGTTTTTTTTCTCGCTTTTGGGGATGCAAGGAGCTCCCACGCACAGGCATTGAGAAGGTGTAGCCAGCCAGCCAGCCAGCCACGCACCTGAACTCTTTGCGCATCTGGTCCTGGACATCGAGACGGTCGCATGAGAAGGGGCCCTTTTTGCGGTTCCACGGCTTATTACCCAACCTAAGGGCTGAGGCTGGCTTTATGCGGGAGACGGGCCCCCCATACACCGCCCATGCCGAAACAATGTGGTTCACGAAAAAAACACTAGAAAACCTTCCAAACAAGCCCCGGTGCACGGCCTATCATGAGGCTATGGGTTTCCCTCCTTGCTTGTTGCTAGTCACACGCCCCAAAACGAATGCGCTGGTATATATGAATACATATGTATGTATGTATGTATGTATGTACGTACGTATGTATGTATGTATGTATGTATGTATGTATGCATGCATGCATGTATGTATGTATGTATGTATGTGTGTGTGTGTCTGTATGTATGTATGTATGTATGTATGTACGTACGTACGTACGTATGTATGTATGTATGTATGTATGTATGTATGTATGTATGTATGTATGTATGTATGTATGTATGTATGTATGTATGTATGTATGTATGTATTGTATGTATGTATGTATGTATGTATGTATGTATGTGTATGTATGTATGTATGTATGTATGTATGTATGTATGTATGTATGTATGTATGTATGTATGTATGTATGTATGTATGTATGTATGTATGGATGCATGGATGTATGTATGGATGTATGTATGTATGTATGTATGTATGTATGTATGTATGTATGTATGTATGTATGTATGTATGTGTGTTGTGTGTGGTGTGTGTTGTGTCTGCTTGCTCGGGTCATCGTTCTTGGGACTTCGCTGCTCGGGCGCAACCTGCTGGTGGAAGCACCAATGCGGGTGCGATCAACGGTTTGCCCCCCAGACCCATTTGAACAAATTTCGCCCGGCACCCATCTGGCCAACCAAACGAAAATCGGCAAACGCCCGGGCTCCAGCGTCTTCTTCGGGATCTTGCAGTTCTTGGGGTCCGGCCTCAAGCAGCGCGCGCCACTTGAGCGCGCACGGAGGGAAGGCGTTGTTGGTGCTGGCTTGGCGGTTCTTCATGGATTAGCCCACTGACTGGGCGGAACCCCCCCAAAAAAAACCGAATCTCAACTTGTTCTGTGTCCTTGGCTTAATTGTTGGCTCGCAGCCCTGAGCAGGAACGCTAGCTAAATGCTGACTAGAGGGAATCAAGCTCTCCAAGCGTAAGGGGTAGGTCCCTGCAGGCGTCGCAGACGTAGGTTTTTCCCGCCCCCAAATTCCCTCCCCTTGCACATGCAAAGCAACCGCCACAGTTCTGCAGTCCTGTTGCAAGTGTCACCTGAGTCTCCGAGCCCGTTCAGGAAGACAAAGTCCCACACTTCATCCGTCAAATCCGCCGCCTGCGCAGATTTGAGGGAAAGGCAGGCATGCCTCAAACGGCCTACGGACTTTGCGCTAGCACTTGCCCGCACCGGAGGGGCCCCACAGACTCCAGACCACCCGTTCCCCCTTGGGTTGCCTTCCTGATTTGGGGCGTCTTGTGGGCGGTAAGGAGGGTCCTTTGACAAGCGCGGGCCCGCACCTTGATGCCGGCCGGGCTGCCCTTCTTCCCATCCAGGTTGCCCTGCGAGCGGGCGGGGCCCGTTGGACAAAAGTTGGTTAAACAACTAGACAAAGAGTTCAAAGAAGACTTGCGGATGTTGTTTCAGCCAAACAGTGCAGCCCAGGACACTTTTTGCAAACAATGGTGGAATGCTTAGCCATGTTGTGACAAGGGGTTGGCCGGGCAAATCCAGCGCACAGGATGAAACAACTCTCGCAAAAAGTGTTCCGCGCCTCACCGTGCAGCAAGTGGGCAACGGTGTAGTAGGCCATGTAGATGGTACTGTCAGACCTGACCGTCGAAGTCCGAAGCGCAAGGATACTCGATTTCTCGAACTTTGCTGCCGGTGCTTTCGGTTGCTCCCATGCCGTCAGAACGCTGAAACCTGCAACATGAGGCATTCCGCGGCTTCCTGCCACGGGCCAAAACCTACCTGTTCTGGAGATCCTCCCGTCGCACAACCCTCCATTCGCAACTTTCAAGGCCCATGTTCAAAGAATGCAAGGACTTGCCAGTTGCGAAAATGTCCGTTTCTTGGTGAATAGGCGGTTTTAGAAGAATTCTCAAGTTGTAAGTGATCCATCCCCTTTGGGCTTCCTTTTGGACAATGCAGGATGGTTACGACTTAGGCACCCAGATGCACCCAGCGACCAAAAACCAACGGGCAATATAATGGGCACATCTCAAAACAAGCGGCACCAACAGACTTGTGCCCGTCCCTTTCGAATTGGAGCGCGCCAACCGTTTGCCTCGTGGATTGCGCTGTAAATGTTGCCACCCCCCCCGAAATCGAACAGCAGCCTTGTAACGGGCCAGCTTTTGAGCCGGCAGAAGGACAAGTAAAGCAATCTGCTCACTTGCCTGAGGGCAAAACTTTTAGCCTCCGAGCCACCCAAAAGAGATGCGAGTCCGGACCTTTTTGAGGCCTTGACCAAAAAAGACATCTGGCAACAGAAAGTGCGGAGTTTGGCAACTCAACAAGCCCCCTCCCAACAAGACGCTCGTGACTGGGTCGCTGGCAGGGACTCGATGACGAATTGCTCATCCCAAGGGACCTCTTCAGCGAAAAGCTCTGCAGGCGCCATGGTCCAACCATGCAGCTCACCAAAAGTTACATCCAAAAATTACCCAGGTGATCCTCCCAAATCTGGTAAACGTGATGTTCAACATGGCCAGCATGCATCCCTTCAACAACCCTGCAAACTCCGGCTGTGGAACATGATCATGGCTCATTGAGTAGGACTCCTCACATTGGTTGTCCAGCATCCTAGACTTTTTCGGGTCCATGACCATCTGATGTGAGGATGGGTGCAAGTAGCATCCAGAAATCGGCTCAGCAAAATGTCCCAAGCTGCCAGGGAGGTTCGGTATGTTGCACCAGCCCCCTGAATGCAAAAGGTCGCATCATGCGTGTTACTTGCACCACGAAAAGTGAAAGTGAGATTATCATTTCCCGGCATAGCGCCCCACGCTTTTTGTCAAAGGCCTGCCTGCGTTCCCAGGCCAAAGGAACCTGGGCAGACGCACTGTCGCACTGCCCCCCACGACTCACGCAGTAGAATCTTAGAAGACCTGAAGGGAAGCCCTTGGATGTTCATCCCGTGTCAGGCAAGTAGGTTAAAACCCTGGGTATATCTGGGGCGGCTGGGGAGACGGGGGGTGGTGCCCTTCATGGCTACCACCCACTTACAGACTTGAGAGGGTTGGGCAGCCAAGTTCCTTAAGCAAAACCTCCGGTGATTGGGTAACATCCCAATGCCACCAAGACCAAGACCAGGCAGGTACCCTCCCCCAGACAATTCCATGGAAGCTCCCACCCCGAAATGGAAGAATGTGTTCCATTCACCGAGGCCAAGCTGGTGGAGCTTCCCGCTGATTTCACCAGAACGGGCGCCACATCCTCCTTGCGCGCTGGGCGTCCGAGCGGCTGCACGCCCATTCCTTCAGCCACCCGATGGCGTCTTCGAAGGACTCCTCCATCGCCAGGGAAATCGGTAGACATCGGCGACGGGCCCGGCAGCTCAACGTGACTCTGGAAGGAGTTGCGCAAGGAACCCAAGACATACCAAGCTAATCAGTGACGGTCAAAATGGAACACCTTCTTGTGTGGGTTGACATTTTGGGGGGGGGGGGGGGGGGAACCACCGAAGGGGGAAAGGGGCTAGAAACTGTGGATGATGGAAGTGTTCAAAAAGAGGACACTGTTGTGGAAGGAATCCCATTGCGGATGATCTGAAAGAAATCAAGAAGCAAAAATATGTTGGGAGGCCAGGCTTCCAACTCTCTTCAAACATTCCCCAGCCAACTTCTTGAAGCTAAATGAACGCTCAAGGAAACCATATAATATGATTATAAGTACTCCTGCAGCCATGCTGCAAAACAATTCCCAAGTATGAGGGGGGCGGGGGGTGATGGTGAAAACCTTCGTTTGCAAAACTCACCGTGTACGAGCCGACCTTTCTGCCCACATTTCCGGGCGGGCATGATGGGGGTCATACCTCTCCGGCACCTTTTGCCGGTTCCAGGTGGACAATGCTTTGGGGGCCTTTGTAGAGGAACCCTTTGGAGGTCCTGTACCGGTACCCCAACCCCAGGAAACAGAGGGCCAAACAATGGCAGACGATGGCCACATGATTATCCAAAGCCTAGGTGCCCTTGAAAAAATAGATGGCGCTGGTATGTGATGTAAACCCAACCGAAACCAGTGGAATCCAGCTATGTTCGCCCAAACGGACACCTATGATCAAGTTTTTTTACGTAGCCTCCTGAACAAAACAAATCGGAATGCACAGGCCGTGCCGTCCCAGCCTTGATGCGGTCGTTGTAGCCTGTTGCGACCGCATGCAAAAATGTTTGCCATGAGGAACGGAACGTTGGAATAAACCCCAGCCCCTTGCCCAAATAACACAACGTTGGTTAGTTAAAGGGCCATTCCCACCCAAACAAAGCAAAGCACAACCCTCTAGGGGTCATCTAACCCCTCTAGACATCACCCCATCAAAAGGCAATTCCAAGCAAATTGGCCACACGAGTGATTTGCAAAGAGGGAAACATAAGGACCCCTGATTGACCCGAAACCCCTTATAAAGAGGGAAGGTTGATGGGAGGGTTGTGGGAAGGGCCTTGGGCCAACCCAACAAACCAAACCCATTGACCTAGTTTGCACAAATGGCCATAGGGGAACGTCATGGACGTCGGGGCCCATTTCAGAAGGGTTAGGCTAACCCTCTGTTCTCACACGATTGAAGCGAAGGCTGGACACACAAGGTGGTCATGGTTCAAGGCCGATGGCTTAAACATCCTCCCCTTGGTTCCCCTTCAAAGGAACCCAAGGGTTGCAGGTTTAAACAATTTGTGCCCGACCCCCCCGCATCTCCCAGACTCAGTCCCATGGGGTCGGTCGCTCAGCCGAGGCACTGATGAAGTTGGGGCTGTTCAGGTGGCCCTGGTGGCAGTCGGAAGGAGCCGGGGGCATGGGAAGCTGAAAGAGTGAACAAGCCTTTTGAGGTGGGCTTTCTTTGGGGCTCTCAAAAAACAAACCTCCGAAACCGGGAAGCCCAGGATTTGGAAGAATATGGAAATTGGAACTTGGTTGAATAGGCTCATGCGGTTGTTGGTGTTGGCCATTCGGTTTTGTCGACGTGACAAACCAATTGGAACAGGGCCACTTTTATGGATATCTAGCCATATGCCCCAAGCCTTCCGGCTGACGATTTGCACACATTCTAAGATGTAAAAGGCTTTGTGCATGGCGCACCATGCACCATCCAAAAGGAGAGTGCCGAATTTGGGGAAACGCTCATGTAGAAAAATGGGAAAGGGGCCTTTTCAAGGCACACCAAGAGAGAACAGCACCTAGAGAGAACAGGACGGGAGCCCAACATCGCAACTCTCGCAAAAGGACGAATGCCTCACCCCCCCCTCCCTTCTTCCTGTGCGTCCATACCAGCTTTGACAAAGGAGTTCTCTCTGCAACTGAGAAGCTTTCTGGATCACAGTGGGAAGCGCTCACGTAAGTTGGACTTTGCTGGTGGAAAAAGAAGGTGTCGCTGGAATAATTTGGACATGTCCCGAGGAGACCCCGAAAAGAATTGTGCTTGTTCCTTCGGCTTCCATGCAACTTGCTTGTCAGTCAACCAGCGTTTTGGGAGTGAACCGTTTTGGGACCCCCTAAGAAACCAGAAGCGACAGGGATGGTTCCGTCCGGGGGCGTTCCCTCATTCGCTGACAACCAGCAAGTGGTTCTGCTCCACGCCCAAGCTCCGCGGCCTCGATCTGACCACGCCAGCTCTCCGCGCCGTACTTCAGGTACCACCTCACTGATTTGTCGGTGGCTCCCTTCAGCCCACAGATCACTTGGATCACCCAGCTGTTCATTCAAAGCTGCCCCATTGCCATGAAGAATCAAAGGCCGCTGAAGAGAACGACGCTAAAAAGAAGGTGAGGGGTGATTGAGGAATGTTTAGGGGGACGTAACACGAACCTGGCAAGGGGGTTCGCCCTTGGATGAGTTGGGTTGCAAATGCCCTTTTTGAGTTGAAAAACCCAAACGTGAACCTCAATGAGGCTTAGTATGCCTTTGTAAGCCCATATATGGCTCTCTCATATCAGTTTTTGGGATAGAAACGCCCAACCCGCCTGGACCCAACCGGGCGTCCATGATACAACATGTCTCCGAACAAAAAGCGCCTTTCGCAAGCCCAGCCAAGAAAACAAGCCACCCGGCAAAGATCTTGGCATGCCCTGTTACGGCGTGAACGTTCACGTCGAAGCTCCGAAGCGCCCGCGCTGAAGCACGCGTTCGGTCTTGGCTTGGCTCCAAATTCCCACGAAATATGCCTACCGCAAGAGGCCGCTTGATTCCCAATTTGTTACATCTTAAAGGTGATTCATTGGGAGTGTGCCGAAGTCTGAGATTCGGGCTGATCAATGGCAGCCACCACGCACTCATCGCCAGATCGCGAAACCACCTGGCGCTCCAAAGGTGCCATCTGCGACTTTTTTTGGGCAAGTTGTCCTTCAAAATCAATCAGCAACAAAGGAAGGGCCGGCCAACTTGACGGGGAAATTCGCTGTGCAACCCTGCAATTCCGAAGCACGCGGCACTTGAGGAATTGAGAGGATCCAAAAAGCGGAATCGAAAGCAAAGGTTTCGGATTGAGACCACGCACCACGCCAAAGCTCCGCGGATCGACTTTTCTGCGTGCCCAACACGTGATCAACACTGGCAGCCGCCCCCCCGGCCCCAATGAGGCAGAAGGGGCAGGAGGCGTCCGTGAGTTACAGCAGTTGAGTCCGGACCCTCCAAATGATCTTCACCCATCTTTTGAGATTCTGGGTTTTGGGCCATGGTTATTAGACGAGAAAGCAAAATAGGAAAGGCACGGCCGCGGTGCTTCCACGTTTAAGTCCGCCTTCTTCTCCGGCTCGGAGTAGATGAAGGCTTGCTTGGCTTGAATCATGACCTGCGTAGCCAGCCGGTCAAGAAGCGAGCGCCCAAATTAGCTTCTCTCTAAATCTTGGAACCCCAAAAGCAAACAAGGGTTCCAAACATCAGGGATCCAAACCACAAAACAACAAGCCTCTGGCGCTGAACTGAGTGCCCAAAGCATGCAATAAGAAGCTGGTGGCCCGAGACTCGCATGCAGAAAAAAGCGTGGGGGGGGGGGATGCCATGGACGGCCAGAGATGTTGCAAGCCCAAACCCTAAACCAATGAATGGAGACTTGGCCAGGACTCCAAAGACTCAGTTGGGCCCTCGCAGAAGGGAACCAAGCTCATTTTGCAGCCTTGTGGTTTGATCATCTTTTAGAGGATCCTGTTGATGAAACTGCCGGAAGAAGCATGACCTGAAGGTTGTTCAAAAGAAAATGATCAACCAATCTTTACCCGTTTCGGGCGCACTTGCGAAATTCCCTGCCACTGCATCCCCCCCGCGCTTGGGACTCTGTGGCTGGTCCCTTTTTGGCGCCCGGCCGTGCGGAACTCGAACTTTGCCTTCCTCAGTGCGGCCGACTCAAAGCCACGAGTCCCGAGGCCAGCGAGCGCAGGGATTCGGGGTGCCATGTTGAGGCGGTCACCTGTTGGCTGCTTCACCTTCAGTTACGTCATAGCTCCCTGTCCCCTACCAGAGAAACAAGAGTCACTGACACGGGCGCGTCTTTTTTTTTGGGTGATGTTGGGTGACTCCCTTTTTGGTAGTTTCAAAGGGGACGCCAAAAAGGCCCGACGCCCAATTTCCAGGCACCCTTACGCCCACATGACCCAAAGCTGCGGCCGAAGGTCTTCACTGGCTGGCCCTTGAACGGTCCGATCGACATGGTGCCTGGCGGAAGAAAAGCCACGCGGGACAAAGCCGCCAAATCTGCACTTGGAAAGGGCCGATATGTCCCGACCTCAAATCGCAAACGAAGAGGCTGCAAGCGAACCAAAGCGGCAAGCCCAACGAAGGGAACCCAAACACGAAAGCGGAACACGAAACCCAGAACACAAGACAGCTTCCGCTTCCTTTTCAAGTCGGTTTGACCTTCAGACTTCAGCCCCGCCTTTGTCGAAGCCCAGCTTGTAGCCTCTGAGCTAAGGATCGATCACGAGCTAAAAGGGGGAGAGGGGAGGCCGAACATGGATAGGCTTGCTATTGACAAGTGTGTGAACTGGGAGCCTTGTTGCACAGACGTGAGAACTAGATCTATTTCACGCTCGGTGAAGGACACAGAACACGTTGTTTGCTCACAGAGCTCCTGTGAAAAGTACCCGGCAAGGCCGCGGGGACGCTGGCTGTTTGCTTGCCAGCCCAGAGGGCGTTTTTTTTTAGATGAGGCACCCAGCTTACAAGCATGCGGATGACCGCAGGCGGGCGGGGGGAACAAACAGCCCAGCAACGCATGGCCGTACATGGTTTCCCTCAGAAGACCAAAAAGGGTTGCCTACAACTCCCCGTTTGTTGCCAAACATGAAGTAAGGTACAATTGGCAAGGGCATGATTTTAGATTGACACAAGCGAGGGCGAACCTGATTAACAAGCCCCCCCCTTTAGGTTCCCTCCCCTTTCAGACTTCTTCAATTCGTTTGCCTCTTCAAGGACCCACTCATTAGAATTGTCCCCCCCCCCCACAACTTCCGTAGGTTCCTTCCGCCACGTCGCCTCGAACAAAAAGCGGCGGGTCTCGCGGAAGGCGCGGTCGATCCGGGGCCGCGGCAAGTGTCGTGGGCCTCTGCCAGCTTCACGCGGTCGTTGATGGACTGCACCCCCAGCTTCTCACACCTCAGCTCACAAAACGAGCGAGCTACGGTGAAACTGAGATCCAAGGCCAGGGAAGATGAGAAGGATGGGAGAATATGGACTCAACCCTGAGAAAGTCAGGGGTCCGTGCCCGTGTCTGGTAAATTTGGTGCGTCCAGTCCTCCCCCCGCCCCCCTGGTTCGACAGCCAGGCAGGACCTCGGACAAGGCGAGCAGTCCAGGACAAAACATGCCAGAAACAGCGCATTGAACTAAGGACAGCGAAGGCACATGAAGGGGAAAAAGGCCAGGGCTCCCCCAGACAAAAGGAGGCTCTACCTCTTAGAAGAGTGAAGAGGTTCTGATCGATTGGTTCTGAGAGCCTTTCTGGGGAGGGGTGTCCGATTTTGTGTCCCCTGAAGTCAACCCCCTACCTGCCCGCTAGCCTCCCCCACACAGAAAAGGACATTGTGAATGGTCCAGGATCCATTTCGGGCAACCCGTGGAGCCTCCCCCACCCGCTTGCAACCACCAAGCGGAAACACCCGCGAAACCCGCAAGCCCGGGGCAATGGGAGCGCCTCCCAGACCCGCAGGCTGCCTAGGGCCACGGCATGTACTGGGCGGCCATGGCCCTCATCTCCCCGTCGATCTCCACCTCGGGCGGAGGCCCCGAAGATTTGGGACGGAGTCCATGAATTTTGCCCACCCTTCAAACGGAAGATAATAGAACTGGGCGGAGTTGTGTATCCAACCGCTTGCGGATTGGGAGCTGAGTTGCCAATCGGGGGAGAAAACATTTCGAAGAACTGTCTCTCTGGCTGAGGTCTGTACGAGCTCGCGAAAAGCTTGCCCAGTTGCCAGATACCATTACCACGTTTAAACCAGATTAACGAACAAGGATTTATACAAGACACTCTAGACTTCAAGGTGCTGGGAAATGACAGCAACAAGCAGACATAGAACTCTCCATGGTTTGGACCAGTTCCTCAAGAAACCTTCTGTGCTCCATGGGGAATCGCTTGGGAGTGCCTACCCAAATGTGCCCAAGCTCCAAAGCCCCTCCGGGTGGTTTGAAGGTTGGGGGTGACCCCCATGGGCAACCAAGAAACAACCAGGACCAAAGGGACAAATCCCCTCCGCAAATCCAAATCACAAATTAGGTCCCCACCCAAATGCGCCCACGTGATGGGTTCGAGACGACAAAGGCGAGTCCCCTTCCGCACAGCTGCCAGAGAAGCTAGCCCAAGGGGCATCCCCAACACCGGCCGACTGCCCATAACTTCATTAGAACCAATATCCCTTCAGGGGTGTTACAACGAGGTCGCTGTCGAGAAACCCAACAGCTGTCACGGCACTGGTTAGACTTCAAATTAAAGCCACATAAAATGCTGCAGCCGCCACCTATGGGGTTCCCTTTAACAGAGTTCGGAACGAACATCGTTCCTACAAATGTTGCGGCCAACCCTGCACTGCCAAGAACAAACCAGTCAAAACATACTTGTTGTTGGAACAAACTGCTTTGGGTCCCCTCTGAAAAAGCGGTGGGAGGGGGCGGGGGGGGTTCAGGGGTTGGCGAAAGCCCATGGTTGCCCAACCCGGCGCTCAGGCTACGGCGTCAATGATGGGGATCAGATCAAAGCCCTCCACCCACTCCTTCTTCACGCCGTAGTGCTCCCTCTTCTTGTCTGCCAGAGTAGGCACAATGGCTCCCGGCGTGCGTGCTCTGGCACGATTGGCTCCAAACTAAGTTCGGGTGAGATGTATGTAGCTCTTTCAACAGCTAGGCGGCAAAGCAAAAAAACAACGGACAAGTACTAAAGCACCATGGGTGAAGTGAAAACACAAATGCAATTGCAGGAATCGCCTTCCTCCTCCCCTCCTCTCCGGGCCATTCGGGAAGTGTAAGCTGACCTTTCCGGGATTGCAGGGTCATTTGACCCCCAGCTACGGCCAGTCCCCAGATGCCAAGCACTAACTCACCAGAAATCAGCGTAGATTGCTTGGTGTTTACCAGTTTGGAGGGGGCTCCTGAACAATCCCACAGCGATCCATCTCTGGAAAAGCGCTCGCTGACACTCGGCGAGGCACTACGAGGCAGCCAAAACACCTGTAACTCGCGCAATGCCGAGGTAGATGTCAAGGAACCCAACATGACACTCTGATATGGGGCCCCTAGTTTTAGGCCCAAGTAGTAAGCCCGCAGCAGCAGTTAGAGGAATGGCTAGCTGACGACCTGGCCAAGATGTAGACAATTGGCCATGGGTCAAAATCCCGTACCCCCAATGAACATCCCAAACCCCACTAAAATAGACTAACATGGGTGGTGCACCTACCCCAAAATGGTACCATTGGTTTTGATCCACAGCCAATTTGGTCTTTGGCAAAGGGGAACCAACCTTTGTCAGGGCCCTGGGGCAGGACCGGTTCTTCCAAACAAGGGTTTGGCGGGAGCGCTGCTGCTCTGTCCAGCATGCCTGACTTCATCAAGTCGATGTACGCGGCATAGTCATCCGGCGAGTCGCTGGGGACACTGGTCACGATCCCAGTTCCCTGACGTGCGCGCACAAGCATATCTCACCAGCATCGCTAGTGAACTTTGTCAGGTTCTAACAAGCGGGGTCCATCCTGCAATGTCGGCAGCGCCCCAGTTGAACCGGTTTCTGTTTAACATAGGGGGCTCATTTTGAGCTGGCTCTAAAGCAAACCAAAACAGCGTGCCCGCATGACCCCCATGGAACCAAACGGTCCGAGTCGATTCGCTTTGGGCAAGTGAGCGATTTGTCCGAGTCCACTTGAAATAAAGGGGCCTGGTCAAAATCATGAAGGCCGCCCGCACAAGCTTGGGGTTGGAGCCATTCCCAAAAAAAACAACTGATATTTAATGGCCCCCTGGTTGATTTAATGGGACACCCCATTTCAAAGCTTCGCCCTAATCCGCCAAGCTCATGAATCCGGGGTCGACAAGGGGAGGTTTTGGGTGGGCCGCAGCTGGCCGGGCATTCACTCCCTGCGCCTTGTCCATCTTGATGGTCGGCAGCGGCAGGACGTGCACGTACTCGTACTTCGCGGTGGGCGCTTTCACCTGCACAAGCCAAGCCGCGCGTTTCGGGGAGAAGGCTCTACCAAGGGTACAGCAACACCGGTGCTCACCGGAGGCGAAACTGATACACTACACCTCGAGTGGTTTTTCACGACAACAGGCCTTGCCAAACCCCAACGAACCCCCCCGAAGCGCGACACGGGAAACCCCGTGCCTTCTTACCCATCAGCTCTTGACCTCGGTGCGTTTAAGGAGGGCGCGACACCGATTGCGCCGCAGAACTTGTTGGCTTGATGGTCGGGGTGTGTCTTGTTTCAAGCAAGCTAGAAAAAGAAGTTGGGCCCTCCAAAAAAGACAGACAGATTGACTACACCAGGGTGAAAGTAGATGGCGCAACTACCTCCATTAGGAACGTGCGCAATTTCCTGTCACCCAACTGTAGTTGGTTTGACCCTGTGGTGGACACCAAAAAATACAGGCTGGATTTCTGAAATCCCCGAAAGGATTCCGGGAATTTCAGCAAGGCAATCTAGCGTTTTGCTGGGGTGCAAGTTTAAAAGCAACGGCGAACTGGAAGGTACAAGGGTGGAACAGAGTGGTTTTCAATTGGACCAAAGTTTGGGGAACTGGCTCGCTGAAGTTCAAGCAACGCCTGGTGCTGAAAGATTCGGACCGTCCCAACAGTCCCAAAAGGTGCAAGCAAAATCCGGCCTTTGCTCCTGGGGATTTGGTTGGATATCTTCAATACAAAGCGGGTTGGTTGGTGGGTGGGTGGATTGATGTGTTGGCGGGTTGGTGGGTTGGGTGATTGTGCCTTGTGACCGACTTGGTTGCCAAGCTTGAATTGGATTCTTCCGGGGTGCTGTTCGAAGGGAACACTTAAGCAACCCTCACAAGGGGCGCAATTGCGAGAGCAATGACAACCAAGCGACCAAAGGTCAAAATCCAAATCGTACCCCCAGTGAACATCCGATTCAATCCCCACTAAAATAGGTTCTAACATGGGTGGTGAATTCACCTACCCCAAATGGGATCCCATTGGTTTTGACAACCACACCCATTTTACAGTACAGCCTATCCTTCAACCAACCGAACCTTTGGGGTCCTCTGCGACATATCTGCCCGTGCGATTTGAACCGCGTTTCTTCAGCCGGGCCGCCGGAGACCTCCATGATGCACTTGGGTTTGCCCCACGGCATCAGAATGTCCTCAGACCACCGCGCTTCCCTTGAGCTTCGAGGGAACTCCCCAAGGCTTAGGGCTGGAAAAGACGAAAAGTAAGCCGAGTCTGCCGCAAAGTTCCAGCAAGTGTCTGTGGTCTAAAACGCCAACCGTTTCCCAGCCCCTTCAAAAAGGTTCACTCTTTGCTGATGTTCAAAAATCCAGGACAATTCCCACCCCTGGAAATCATGAGAGTCAACTAAGGGCACTCAGAGACACTGCAGCCTCAACCGCCCCCCTGTCCTGGAAGCTCATGTTCCGCGCCGCCCTGTGGGACGTCACCTGGCGTCTAAGAATCGGTTCGTTCGACCCGTGGGCCAAAACAACAACAACAAAAAACGCTAAATCTCTTTCGCCCGAAAGTGAACAAGAAAGAGTCCGACAGGTTTATGTTGTTTTTTCCCCGCCACACATTTCTTCGGGAAATAACATTGTTTGTAAACAAAGAACTCTCGCGGATCAATAGGAGGTGTTCCTGGCAAAATTGAATCATCCCACAAATCCAGAACGAGCACCGCTATCAATCAACCAGGGGTTGGCTAATCTGGGTTGCCACAAAATCACTGCCTGCCCCAGAACACAACTTGCTCGATTCACTACCACCTTAGGTCCAAGAGAGAAAACATCCTGAGGCAGCCCCGCGCCAGCTTCCCCAAAGAATGGGAGCCCAGGATTGATCACCCTGCAGTGTTCCATTCGGATCACTTCTGGGAGACGCCCACTAATTTGATTTAATAAGATTCCCCCGACATCGGATCATCGGATCGAAGCGAGCCAACACCCGGAGGCGGCTTAATAGCCGGGCGTGCGAAGATCTCCTTGTTGGGGGCTTCGAAGCACCCGTACTGCCCGGCCGGGAGGATCCAGCAATTCGTCCTCAAACCACAGGCCCCCTACCCTCCCCCCACTCCCCCACTCCCCCTTCCCGGCAGCCACCCCACCCCCGCAAAGGTCAGTTCAGCTTCCCTTGGATTGGGTTCGGAGCTCGGTTTGGAGCGGGCGGTTTCCCATTCACAAAAGCCAGGGGTCCGCCGAGCCAAGCCACGGGTCCGAAAACAGCCCGAACCCACCCCCATCGAGGCCCCGGACTGGCCCGGCATCGTCTCCGCCCTTAGGGTGGCCGCCAACAGGAAGACCTGCGCGCCGAAACCTTCTGTGCCGTGACCACCAAAACATGCAGTCCATTTGTACACCGCGAGGTGCCAACCCTTGTATATAGATGTTTACATATACCTTTACATGCATTTTCACATGCATAGACATGTAAGGGGTCCAGAAGGGTAATATTTGGGGCCCACACCCCAGAGGCAAGCCGCGAGCCACTCCCACAAAGCAGCTGTCAGGCCTTACTGCCCTTAGGCAGCTTCTTCTGCATGTCGGGCGTGGGCTCTAACAGCTCGATCTTGATGGCGGTGTACTCCTCACACTGCATTCTCAGAAAGGGCACGTTAACGTTACGCAGCTTCAATAGATTGTCCCTTGCCAGGCCGAAAACCATGGCTGTCAGAAGGGCGAGTCATTTTCTTCTCCCGAGGCGCGTGCTTAAGAACAACCACATGCCCAATGGAAATTAACTTTGATAAATGCAAAAAGACGAAGTTTAAACGATCTAAGCCGCTTTTGGCTTCCTTTCAAGGGGCCAACACAACATTCGGCCCAAGCCTGCATCCCACCCTTTGAAACACAGAGTAGTCATTTGCTTGATCCTTTGATCCTGTTCGGGGAACAAGCTTCCAGGGGGGAATCCGGTACCACCTTCGGAGACACTTGCATTGCAACGGTGGGGTTGCCTTAAAGAGGACACCGGGAACCAATGCCTTCTCTTGCTTACTCTCTGCTTCAATCTCTTGAGGGGAGGACACCAGAAAAGGACAAAACACTTTTACACCTCCCATATCAGCATCTCCCAACCCCCAGCTGTGTGTGATGGACACGGGTCGATTTTGCAACCTCACTGCAAATATTTATTCTCCACGTTTTGGGTTTTGGGCCTGAAAAAGGCCCAAGGGTCCATACCATCCGCCCTCCGAAAAAGCCCTCCCGTGCCTGCGGCCCCACACCTTCGCCCTCGGCCCGGTCGTGGTCCATGCAGGCCTGGCCCCACCAAACGCAACAAGGCTGGCGAGTTGTGTGCAAACAAAGGCAGGTTTGGCGGCCTGCCTCACTAATGGTCACCAAGGGTCACTAGTCCCTAATGCTTACTTTCACCATGTTGCTGAAGTCCAGTTCCGCTTTTGAAAGGCGCTGGCCTAAAAGGGCGCCTATCAGGGTTGCGCCTTAGGTGTCCTGCGCAATGCTTAACATCACAACACAAAGTTGCATCACAAACATTAGACGCAAGAATGCGACATGAAAACCGGAAGAGGGCTGCACAAAGGGGCCAGTGGAATGGAGGCCGAGAAAACTGAAAACTTCAGGTTTGCCTTACTCGAATTGGTGGGTTGCATTGGAGGTTTGAGCGTGCCGGCTTTGAGTGGTTTCCCATTTACCCTCTACAAACACCAGGGATTCAAACCCCCAAGCCCCCAAGCCACCAATCCAAACCCCCCTAAATCTACATCTAAGCACTAAAACAACTGCAGCAGGAGACACCCAAAAATAAGAAGCCCAAGTGACATGCATCAGAACTGGCCCTTACATTCTCGGAACCTGCTCGGAATCCTCTGTGCGCCCCCAGAACCGCCCCTTGCATCCCCGGAACCCTACCCTCTCAATGTGTCGCAACGTCGCCTCTATGGATGAAGAGCCCTCTGTTGAAAACGACCCTGGACCGATTCATGTCCCTCGCGATTTTTCGTGGGCACCAGTTTTGCTTAGGGTACCGCTACAACTATAAAGCGGTGGCTGGAGGCAACGTTGATTGAGTTCCCTTTTGGTGAGCTGAAAATCCAACAGGGACATGCCTTTCCAAGAAACCATAACCGCCAACAAAACCAAAAAAGCAAAAGGGTGCCACCAAGCAAGTGGGATTGGGCAAGTGCAAGCACTTTGTAAGCCAGTGAAGGAGCCCGGTTCGAACCAGGAATCCATACCGCATGGTCGTGCCTTTCCACAGCAATCCACATCACTCGCAGGGGCATATCCAGGAACAGACCGGTCTACACGAGCGGGCAGGGCAAAACAACATCCTACCGACCACCAAAACAACCCGCAGCGATTCCTCGCTGCGGCACAAACCTAATACACCCAGAACAAGCTCGAGAAGCCCACCCTCCGGAAATCCGCCGGAGGCCTGCCCATCGATTTCGCCTCGGCGAACATGTCTCGGCGAAAAAGCCTTTCGAGCCCCAGAACGGCCCTGGGTGAAAGAGTTGGCTTTGATAAAAATGAAGCCCAATGGACAGACAGGGTACAAAATCAGACTTATGAGGAGGATTCTACCGTCTCAAATGCTTTGACACGCATCAAGGCCTCACAAGTGGCACGGTGCCGCTTTAGGTTCCTTTCCACAAAAAAAACACCAACAAAAAGGACGAGCCACCCAAAGGGAAATCAGGAAGTTCTGACAAGGGAGTTGCGCCCTTGCGCCGAGGTGCTGTAGATGGTCGGGCGTTTCCCAAAGCCAATCTTCTCAGACTTCTTCAGCTTCCTGCAGGGTTTGCCGACGCCACCCGTTTCCGGCATAAACAAAATCTGCCAAAACATCCCCCACGCTCCATTCGGACCTTGCGGTCCGTTTAGGGGCGGAAAACCGCCCAATTCAATTCCCTGTTTGCCTTTGGACCTCTTTGGGGAAATGTTACCGGATCGCTAGAAGAAGGCACGCTTGAAGCGCGTCCTTGCGTGTTTGATTTGTTCATGCGCGTCCAGAAGCGTACCTCAGCTGTTGCCCTCAGATCCTACCTCAAAATGCAAAATGATATCCAAAGAGATCCCAAAAACGGTCAGTGAGACTGGATCCGCATGCTCTTGCAGACGTACTGATTGCCGGGTAGCAGTGCGCAGACGTGCTACAAGATGGCAGCCGAACGGTTGAAAACACATAGATACAGTGTTTCAAGCACATAAGGGGAACCCGGATTAATAAACCTATCCTTCCAATGCATGCTCTGATAGGGGGGTCCCACAAAGGTGAAGACATTCCACTAACACCCCAATTAATCAAAAAGACTCATTAATCTGGGGTCAACATTGGGCATTCAAAAGTGTCAAGCCCCGTCCTGAACTGCCACCGCACGAAGCTGTCCTTATGCCGTTTTTTTGACTGAACGGGGAAAAAAAAACATCCGAATGGCGCTGACCCTGTCTTGACCTGTGGGCGCATGTTGCTTTGCAAAGCAATGAGGCCCCAATCTCAGGGAAGAGGATGCTTAAATTAAACTTGAACAAGTGGTTGGCCCAACCCTGCTGGCTCTTCTTCGGGCTCGAATTTGAGACAGCCGGCCCCTATGACAACTGGAAGCCCCTTGACAGATATGCCTGTCATCTGCCCACAATCCCTGAGCCCAGCACGTAGAAGTCATTTTGCGAGGTCGTAATGAACCTCAGTTGGCAACTCAGCCGACGCGTCAACCAAAGAAGGCATCCCCTCAAACGCCACGCGCGCGCGAAAGAAGGCCGCTATGACGCACCAAGTGAAGCCAGTGGGCTTCGGGGTCCAGAGAGGGGTTCGGCTTCATGCCCCACCAGTCACCCGCTTTCAACAGCTCGTAATCCCCAGCCAAAAAGCCACCAGCTCCTCGTCCGGGAGATTTCCAGGTAGGGGGGTTTGGAGCTATGGATGCTCATATGCCACTATGGGCGTGTAATGCAGCATATGCTATATACCGTAGTACCCGCTTTCGGTTAGCTTCCCTCTAACTGGTGGTTTGGACTCGTGGTTTGCTGGTTACAAGGTGGTTTCCCATTTACCTCTACAAGAACCAGGAGTTCAAATCCCCAAACCCCCAATCCACACCACCAATTAAGGGTCACTTGAATACAAGTGATATACACCCTCCATACCTCTCCAACCCATGCCAGAAAATGCCCTCGGGTCAAAAAGCCGGCAAGGGTGTTGGGCCCCCGGCGAGCGCCGGAAGTCCACCGGCATGCCGAAGCGCTTGCAGTCCCTGACCCCCAGAGGAGGGAAGTAGTTCAGCCTCAGGATCATCCCAAGCCACAGGCCCGGGTAGAAAAAGAAGTCGCCTTACCTTGCTGGTGCTCAGGGAATGCGAAATGGAATGACCACGAGAAAAACCATCCAACTGGTGGTTTCCTTTAAGGGGATCCCATGGTTCATTCTCTCATTCCCTATCCCTAGTTGGTGGTTTGGTTTGGTGGCTTGGACCTGTACCTTTCCCATTTAGTTTCAACAGGTTGGGGGGACAAGCTCCCGAAACCATCAATCCAAACCACCAAACAGGGGGTACCTGAAGAAACGGAACCAACGCCTCGGCCCAAAACAAACAAAAAAACAGTAGAAATGCCAGTGGCACGGGCGGGAACGGTTGTTGGAGTTGACCATTTTCAGTGGGCCCCGAAACCAGCCAAAAGGGATTTGGGTGCCGCTGAACACCTGCGGGTACTATAGGCGCGCCCTTCTGGAAATCATGGATGGTACTGGCAAATGATCAGAGCCAAACTGAAACCGAGCCAAAATGTTTTGCTTTGGAAACCAAAAAAAACACCTATGCAGGGAACCCTTTTTGGAGAGTGACCAGTTCTGAATCTTGGCACGCCCACCCAAAAACAACGAATGAATGCCTGGGATCCACTGAGCCACCGAAAAACAGTTCCCCTCGAGTCCGTTTGCCGTTTGCCGTCGGGGAAGGGAACGGCAGAAATAGGCACCTGGGTCCTTTTGCACATCCAATCCCTTCTTACGTTGACAAGGGCCTCCTGTAAGCTACAGTCCAAATAGGCTACCCAGAAAAATAGCCTTCGTCTTGTGGTGTTGGTAGGACATTCGTGGAAATTCATGAGTTCCCCACTTTCCCCTCCCAAACTGTCCCATCGATTATTGGGAAGTTGGCAATACTCGATCACTTCTGGAGGTTCCCCTGGCCACTCGGAGGCCAAGGAATTCCAGATGATCAATGCTGAAGCTCCGGCCAGAAGAGAGGATCCACAAACCTCAGTCTCGGGGGGTAAGGAGCTGGCCGCAAAATGCGTTGACCCACTCCAATAGGATGCAAAATGGGGCCTTCCGGCTGCAATCTCGAGTTTCCAGGCGGGGTGTTGGTTCCCAAGGGGAAGGTAGGAACGTTGAGTCTGGTTCATCACGGGCTCTAGTTAAAATGAAGCTTGCGCGGTCCCCCCCCCCCCCCCCGATCGCAGCGATGGAAACTTGGCTGGCCCCTAGGAAAAACCAAAGCCAGGCCTTCACCGACGTTCCACTCATCACAAGTTGAGTAAGCCAAAAGGGCTGGCAGAAGCTACAGAGGCAAGCTCACATTCCACTCATAGGTGTCATTTTGGGGTAAATACATGGCCCTGGTGGATGATTAAACCACCAGGTATGCCAGGGCCATCGATTTTCGACCCAAACCCCCCAAAAAGGACACCTATGATTCTACCCCTGGGCGTCCTGATGTCATTGAAGGGATGGGGTTCGTAGCCCCGAAAGAAAAATTTCTCCCACGCTCCGCTTTCTATGAGCCCGACTTGGGGATCTCCTCGGCGGACAGGCCCATGGCCTGCAGGGCAGGCGGACCAGGAAGTCGTAAAGCGAAGGGACATCAAGGGAACCCGAAAACGGAAGACATCCGAAGACAGGGGTCCTACTTCAATGGGAATCCGGATCACTGGTTGGGAGAATCCGGATCACTTCGGCAGGTTGATTTATCTGCGGTCTATGGCAGGGGCGCCCTGGTTCTCACAACGATACACACACATCTACATATATATATACATGTGTGTATGCATATTTGTCTGTCTGTCTCTGTCTGTCTCTGTCTGTCTCTGTCTGTCTCAGTCTGTCTGTGTCTGTCTCTGTCTGTCTCTGTCTGTCTCTGTCTGTCTCTGTCTGTCTCTGTCTGTCTGTCTGTCTGTCTGTCTGTCTCTATCTGTCTCTGTCTGTGTCTGTCTGTCTCTGTCTGTGTCTGTCTGTCTCTGTCTCTCTCTGTCTGTCTGTCTGTCTGTCTGTCTGTCTGTCTGTCTGTCTGTCTGTCTGTCTGTCTGTCTGTCTGTCTGTCTGTCTGTCTGTCTGTCTGTCTGTCTGGCTGGCTGGCTGGCTGGCTGGCTGGCTGGCTCCGTCTGTCTGTCTGGCTGGCTGGCTCTGTCTGTCTGTCTGTCTGTCTGGCTCTGTCTGTCTGTCTCTGTCTGTCTGTCTGTCTGTCTGTCTGTCTGTCTGTCTGTCTGTCTGTCTGTCTGTCTGTCCGTCCGTCCATGTAAGTAGGTATTATGTATGTATGCATGCATGCATGTATGTGTGCATGCATGTATGTATGTATGCATGCGTGCAGTATGTGTGCATTTATGTGTTGCTGTATTTATGTTGTTATGTAGTTACGTTGCTATGCATGTTTGCATATATGTATGTATCTAGGTATAGGTTTGTGCATGTGTTGTTTATCTCTGTATTTGTGTGTTTGTCTTTAGGTATCTATATATATATGTACACAGATGGTTTCAGTTTTCTGTTTGTTTGATTGCTTGACTGCTATTTGACTTACTTATGTATTTGTTCATTGATTATTCGGTGTGTTTTTTGTTTGTGTATTTATTTTCTGTGTCTATTTATCTATTTATGTATCTATGTATCAATTTATCTATTTATCTATTCATGTATGCATCGATTCATTTAATTATGGACTCCTTTACTTTCTCATGGACTTACACAGTACATACATATGTATATATGCATACGGTTTGAAGATGTTGGGATAAGCTGTCTGATCTCGCCTGGTTCTTGCCGATCCTGAATTCGCAGCTTTGTGTCTCCGAATTGTCTTTGAGAATCCTTTGTTGTTTTGCGTTAGGAGGCTGCAAGTCGAGGAAGGACGTATTCCACGTGGGGCTCTTTCCCCCCTGGACCATGAAGCTTGGTCAACCCCTCGCACCTTGGATCGTTAAAAAGGTCAAGAGGCTCCCCATAGGACCCCCCCCCAACCTGAATGTTTGTGGCAACACTGGCTGGTTTCTCAATATTAGTTTTATGGTATTGTTCCTTTTGGCTGCCTTTTATTGGCGGGGGGGGTCCTCTTGAGGGTGCCCAAATATGACCAGCTCTCGTTCCCGGCACCTTCAGGATCTCGTACTGGGACGCCGCATCCCCGCTCTTGGCCAAGATCTTCTTGGCCACGCGCTTCCCACCTGCCGCGCCTCACACAGTGACCATCCTCACATTTTGAACCTCCGAACTGCCCCAGAGACTTGACGGAGCTTGGGGAGTGAATTGGCCCTTTTGCGGAGAAGCCTCTGAAATCCACGCTGAAAGGGGGCCCCTCCAAACTAAAAAGTACGTCTTGCAAGAACGGGACTCAAAGGCAGAAGGGGGGGAGGGTCTGCTCCCAAAATTCATATCCCAGATTTTCCCCTGCCGATTGACATGACTGTCTTGCAGTTAGAGGGTGACGTGGATGGGGCCCCCGGCCGCTCTTCTTGTCCTTGGGCGCCGCATCTACAGACACCTCGTCGGAGATGGGGCTGGCCGGGCACTTGGTGCCGTCCTCCAGGGGGGAAAAGCAGAGGAAGGATCCAAAGCCTTTGGAGGGCCTGGTGGACACTGAACGGGTCGATTCTTGCCAACCACCTTCCCTTGGATCTTCGGTTCTTGGCTGCAAAATCGAGTGGCACGGGTACGGGAATAAGATGGAATAAGCCCATTAAGGCTGAATGAAGCGGGGTTGCCTTGTCACAGCCGTTTCGATATGGAAAATCCGGGGCCAGGCTTCCTACTTTGTGGGAACCCCTTGCAAAACTTGATCCCGGAGAGCCCGTTTTGGAACACGCGAGCTGTCCTTGTACTTTTGAGGGTAACCAAAAAATGAACAAAATGTATCAGAATAGAAAAGAGGTCCTTTTACTTATCCCAAAAGCGCTGTCAAAAAGCAACCCTTTGCGGTTGCAAATTCCAGACGACCAAGTCTTCAAAATGGCGCACGCTTCTTAATGGCAAGATGGCATCCCCATTTGGGGTTTGGTTCTTGGCTTCAACACCTCTCTGCACACCAGGCCTTCCTTTTTGTGCTCGAAGACAAAAGTAAGCCCTGATCTCAGCAGAAGAAATCAATCCCTGGCTCACAAAGTCGGCACCGGTCCTCCAAAACTGCCTCCACCTCGGGGCAGTGGCGCTCAGGCGTCCAACCCCAACGGCGCGCCCAGGGAGTCCTTCTGAGTTTTCAGCGACGTCCTTTTGGCTCGGGTTTGTAGACACATGCAGGTGTACCCCACCCCCCCCTACCCCCTCAACCCCGCTGCAAGGTGACATGCTGAAAGTAACAGCTCCGGCCTCCGAGAGGCGCTCACACCATATACACACCATTTATTTACTACCTCACCAAACAGAAACTCACTTCAAGATCACGCGAAAGGTGACAACCGCCCACGAAGAACGGAAGTAAAAGAACTGCTACAAGAGTGGAAGCCGGGGTCGACTGAACCTTACGCGCCTCCCTCCTTGTGCTAGCGCAGAGCACGATGCATACGTACATGCCGTTGTACATGTGCTTCTGCTCAAGTGGCTGGATGTGTAAACCCAAAAAAGGACCCGTGATATGAACCCCTACCTTCTTGGCAAATTAGCCACTAAGTATGGCGGAACTGTGGGAGGACAGTGCAGCAAAAGGTGCCCCTAATGGCCATGGGTCCCTGTATGGATCCATACAATCAGCCTTTGATGTGCCTCTACCCATTCGCCAGGTATGTGCCTTTATCAAGCACAACCAGACAAACGTATGACAACAAATGTGCGTCAGGCACACACATGATATCTATGTGTACGTATATATATATATATATGTGCAATCAGCAGGTGCAATGTACAGGTATACATTGACATGTTTCCGTATTGACACACATACACAAACACAACACACATAAGTCACATAAGTATATATGAATGTATATGCAACAAACGTGCGCACACGGACAGAAAGACAGACAGCCAGGCAGGCAGACGGACGGACAGACAGACAGACAGACACGCAGGCAGACACCGAGAAAGAGAAAACATAGCGAGAGAGAGAGAGAGAGACAGAGAGTAAGAGTGAGAGAGAAAGAGAGAGAGAGAGAGAGACAGATAGAGAGAGAGAGAGAGAAGAGAGAAAAGAGAGAGAGAGACACAGAGAGAGAGAGAGAGAGAAAGAGAGAGAGAGAGAAAGAGAGAAGAGAGAGTGAGAGAGAAAGAGAGAAGAGAGAGTGAGAGAGAAAGAGAGAAAGAGAGAAAGAGAGAAAGAGAGAAGAGAAAAAGAGACAAAGAGACAAAGAGATAAAGAGAGAAAGAGAGAAAGAGAGAAAGAGAGAAAGAGATAAAGAGAGAAAGAGAGAAAGAGAGAAAGAGAGAAAGAGAGAAAGAGAGAAAGAGAGAAAGAGAGAAAGAGAGAAAGAGAGAAAGAGAGAAAGAGAGAAAGAGAGAAAGAGAGAAAGAGAGAAAGAGAGAAAGAGAGAAAGAGAGAAAGAGAGAAAGAGAGGGGCGAGCGGGTGGGTGGATGGATGGATGGATGGATGGATGTAGGGGGGGACGGACGGACGAACGGAAAGACGGACGGACGGATGGACGGATGGACGAACGGACGGACGGACGGAGGGACGGAGGGACGGATGGACAGATGGACGAACGGACGGACGGATAGATGGATGGCTGGACGGTTAGACAAAGAGCTATAGGGCGTGCGTACATTCAAGATACATACGCAAACCTAGCTGTACGATACCGTGGGTCCTTCGGATCCAGGGCTCCCACTTTGTACCTGCAGCCGCCGCTCTCCACTGGCAGCACCGCCTTGATCTTGTTGCCCTGCGCCTGGCCGTGAAAATGGTGAGGTTCCAAGAAAGACATGCAGCTTATGAAGCACCGCTGGAATGGTTGCCCTTGCAAGGCCATTCTAAGGTTGGCCGCGGATTAATCAACGTGGTGGATCAATAGGGTGCGCCTCTCCCTCAAAAGTTCAGGATTGCCAGGCGAAAGTGGCTTCGCTCTTAAATGGAAATGGGACACCCCCTCCCCTTCCCCCCCCCCCCCCCGATTTCATCAGCCAGTCCTTGGTATAGAACCAAACGAAAATTAACATGGAACCTGGCAGGGGCTCCCTTTGAACGGAATATGGTCTTCCAGGATCCCCCTGTCAGGTTCCAAATTAATTCATTGGTGGGGTGCCTGTCTTGGGGGCTCTTGGGCAGCATTTCATTTTCAGGGAGGTGTCATCCTTGTTTTCCATACATCCAAGCGGGAACCGCTCGACTTTCAGTGGGCAAGCCCGGCCCCAGCGGAAACCACTACCCGTCGGTCCTATACACCTTCACATTTGGGCGGAAGGGCATGCCCAAACCGGTACTGGGCCGAAATATTTGTGTTAACGCCCCCCTGCTCCATGTGCCCGCAAAAAGTACTTGGGCCCGGAAAATAGGTCGGCAGCGGCTGCTCCTTTGAAGCCAAAGGCAACCAGGGGAGCAAATCTCAGTCTTCTTGGCACCCTTGGGAGTGGGCATTGGTGAGGAACCATACCAGCCTGGATCCTCGGGCGGTCACCACTGTGATATTGGCTTTGTCGCAAAACCGGGAGGAGGGGGGGGGGGGGAAAAAATCTCACCAGCAAGCACGGGGGCTCCTCAAAAAACCAAGGGTCCCATATATTTGTGTTTTTAGACCCCCCTCAAAAAGGATGTCTCTTTCTTTTCATTTCCTTTAACACCACAAACCAAGGGGCTGCCTCAAAAAAGGACACACATGCTCGGTTGCTGTAACGACCCCGCTGCAAAAAAAGACTAACTTTTTGTGGGTCCAAGTCAGCAAATCCCACCTGTTTCAACCAAAAGAATAAAGTCCAAAGATCCGATACCCAACAGCAATCAAGTCAAAAGAAATCGCATCTTCCATCCCAAAGCACCATTCAAACCCAGGGGGTAGCCTCAAACCACGAGACTCACCTGGCGCCTCTTTTTCCGCGTTTTTTCCCGCGGCCTTCAGGGCTGCGGCGTCTGCCGGGTGAGGCACCGTCTTCACCTTCTTGAAGTCGCCCTCCTTGACCTGCGTCGCTCGCCCGCCCCATCGCGCCGAGCGCGCGTTTGCGCGCCGAGCGCGGAAACCGATCGGACGGGTGGGGTGGGAGATGGTGGGATTTGTGGCGTTTGCGCGCGTGCAGGGACCGGAGATGTAGAGGTTGGACCCTGGATGCCGAATTCCAGGTCTCCTGCGAGCGGGGCGAAGCCTGTCATCTGCAGCCGGGCAATGTACAAAGAAACGTGGGAAAGCCCAAACTCGAGAAGCCACAGCTCATATTCAGCAAATGGGCGGTCTGCTTACGACGGGCACCTGATGATGTTAAGTAAATAGCAATGACTGGGGATGACCACAATGGAACAGCCCAGATGCGCGGGTCCCCTTCCATGACTTCTGAGGGAAAACCCCTTCTACTCATGTGGAAAAGGAACTGGAACGCATGGACAGGGGGGAACACGACCGGGCTTGGGTGGTTTCCCACCGCCCAGAACACCGGGGCCTGCATGTAGGCGACGTACTCCTTGATGGCCTGCCAGAAAAGGGGCTGTGACGTCCGGGTAGGTAGCATCATGCAACGGTAACCACGGTGAGAACCTAAGTGGGCTGCACATAAACGTAATGAGCCTGGATTTCGAACCTGGAATCCTTCCGCTCCGGGCTTCTTCCCGCAAAAAAAGACCCTCGAGAAATAGGCGCGGCTTCTGAGGTGGAGCCATGACCTGAAAATCACGGCGCGGCTCTCGGCACCGCTTTGAGCGGCAGCCATGGGCCCATGGCGAGCAGTGCGATCGAAAACGCCGCTGCAATTGGTTGTGGTCCTTCAATGGTTCCTTTTTCGCAGGTGAGCAAAGCCTGCGATCTTTGCTTTTCATGGTTTTAACCCATACAAAAAGGGCGGTGCTTGCGGAATTCCTCCTAAGATGCATTGACAATCAAATGGCACTCATGTAAAAAGATGTTTGCCAAAAGTCCTGCGCACAAATTGCCCCACGCCCGCGAGTCCGCCAGCATTGGCGGCCTCCCTGGCGAAGTGGGAGGTCCCTGCCTTCTTGCCCGTCGAAGGAGGCGCCTTCCACGTCATGGTCACCCCCTCGTCGTCGATGTCTATCACCCCTTCCGATGATTCCTGGCCGCAAAAAGCAACAAACGCCGGTGCTTTGGGGAAGTGGCCACATGGCCCTTGCGCCCCCCCCGAGCCCCGGAACCGCGGAACTGTTCGCACCTTGGGCGTGGGACGTCCTGGTGGAAAGGTCGGGAAGGGGGTGCCGAAGGTCTCCAGCCTGGGCCAAAACTGCCGATCCACGTTGCTGCAGCCCCTCTGTGGTGGGTCCAATGGACATTCCCACCTGCTTCAACCAAAAACATCCAAACAGCTATCTGTTTGGTCCCATTCGCAAGTTGTTTGCACAAAAAGAGTTATTTTGTTGTAAGTCCAATGCAGCCAAACAGTCAAAGTGCAAAGATCCAACCAAGTACCAAGAAAGTCCAGCCGTCTGTTGCTTCCTTTGCTGGTGTTTTACTGCCGGGGTATGGAAACTGGAGTATCTGGAGTGGATGTTTTTACATATGACAAAAAAGATGCATTCATTTGTAAACCGACGAAGAAATATGTGGATCATGCAAACGCGCCTCTCTCTCTATCCCTCTCTCCCTCCCACGGCGATATCTGGCACAAAAAACACCCGGACTCCATGGATATCTCACAGCCCGAGCCTACGAACAACATTGCAATTAAAGAGTACTCTGAGCCCACAGACGACTTATCTAGCTATAAAAAGCACACAAAGAACCCACGCTATGCACTTCAGCGTCCTTTGGCGTACAAAGGAACCTACATATTAGAACCCATTTGGGATCCCCTAAAATGTTTGTAATCACTTTGACCCTTCTTGAACTCGCAAGAAATGCTAGAGCGGAGCTGATGTCTTGTTGCTTGCAGATCCTCCGCTTCTTCGCACCTGGGTGCCACACTCCCGTGACAGCTTGTTGGCTGCAGCCTGGCACGTGGCGTCATCCTTTCCCTACCGGGGCAATTCCCAAGCCATAATGCTTCGGACTCCACTGCAACAAGGTTGGTTCATAAATGGGGAAGCCGTGGTTTATCAATCTTATAAGCGTCGACCCCGGACTCATCCCTGGTTTGCTACAGGGGGTTCTCCAAAAGCAATCCGGATCCCCTCTCAAAGTGGGATTCCCCCCCTCAGACTGAAACAGGGTCGTATTCATCCTGAGTTTCCATTGGCTCCAGTTTTAGAGGAAGCCTCTTTTGCCAGACCTCTTAAGGTTTCGGGGGGTCCCGTGCAGACCTGCAGAGTCCAACACCCTGGCGGCTGGCAACGCCAACTTGGGCTCGCTCTCGCCTGGATGGGCATGCCCGTGCAGTGGAAACCGAAGGGGAAGAGCGCCTGGACTCCGCGCACCCACCGATTGAAGCAGCGCTCCTTTTCACCTGTTGGTTCTACATGGGCATAGGCGGCATAGAGCTGTTGACAGGCTCTTACCACGAAGGCTCAAAATGCGCACTTGCAGGCATAAAACTTGAAGGCCCGGGAGACGCTTTTTTGCGGGTACCCTTAGATTCCTTCCTCTCCCAAGGGAATTCAATCAACGACCCATTCTTGGGGGCCTTTGAACAAGTGCCCAACTCTGTCTAAGTCACAATTTAGGAGGTTCTTGAGATCCTTATTTTGAGACGAACCCACAATATGGCCTGCCTTCTTTCCCAGCAAGCGGTGGAACTGCGCGGCGAAGATTGCCTTCCTGTTGTGCCATGGAGTGGTCAAATCATATACAGTAGCTCATATTGGGTACATTGCTGGTGGGTTGGGGCCAAGTTGTTTGCTTGCTCGCCTCATTGGTTCTGGCTGCTCATTTGGTTGCTTGGTTTGTCGGTTGGTTCGTTGTGTTCCTTTTGGTATGGTATGACAAGGTACGATTTTAAAGGGTGTCCTTCGATTCTGGTTCCCGCAGTCCGGAGCTTTGACGCCGTTTCGATGGGCCGCATCTCATTTAAGCTAAGTGCGGCCTCCTACAAAGATTGAGTCGGTCTTTTGGTGAGGGTACCCTTTTTGGGTTCGTTTGCAGGGATGCCAAGGGGAAAGCCATGACTGTTGGGGTCCCTATTTTGAGACACGACAAATTGAAACATGCTTCAGGTTGAAAAACATCACCTTCCAAATCACAAACAGGTGCCCATCCCCCCCCCCCCTCCACACCCGCGCGGCGGCGGGGTAGGGGGGAGTCAAGGAAACCATTTTGGAAATAGAGGATACCCCCCCTTCCATCCTTCCAGAGGGTACCCTCCTCCCAAAAACAGGCTCCATGTTTGCTTTTGAGCGAGATCTGACAAGACTGAGGGATCCCCAAGTAAGGAACCCGCATCATGGATGTTCGCTCCCCGCATCTGGCTCAACTTTGCGGCAGTTCAGTCTGAGCGTCGTCATGGTGAAGGCATGGCCGATGTGCAGCAAACCGTTCCTGGGATGAGTGACACTTAGTCCGACTGAACAGCCACACGGCGCACACATGTGGCCTTGGGTCAAAATCCCCTACCCCCTGCACCTCCATTGGTTTTGACCCACAGCCATGTTGCCTGGGAGAAGGTAAAGTACCCCAGGAGGAAACCCTGAAACAAAAAATGTGCTTTGCTGCACATACCGCTTTCCAAAAGGACAAGCTGTGCACTTCCAAGCTTTTTGGTTGGCGATCTCCTGTGTGATCTGCTACCCCCGCAGATTTGAAGACACATAGGTTGTATAAAACGGCTATGTATCGGTACCGCTTTCACGAGTGGTTTTCTTTCCTGGCCGAGGGGCATGTAAGGATATGGGAAGGTGCACATGAACTTCTCCTCCTTCCCATCTGGGGCGTCAATTTCCCAAACCTCGCGGGCGCGGCGGGCTCGAACACGCGGCCGAGTGTCCAAGGCTTATGGCCCGCTTCTCATATGCAGGCCATGGTCTTTGTCTTCGTGAGAAAGCAAAGTTTGGCTGTCAGGAATCCCTGCCAATGGGATTGAGAACCCTCTACCCCAAGTGAAATGCACATGGCACGTATGGCTCTGTCCCAACAACGAGAGAGGGCAGAGCGAAAGCTGGCAAACATAGTGCGCTTGAAAGGAATCCTCCTTGCAAGCATCCTTCCAATGCATTTGAATCAGCAACCTCGAAATGGCAAATCCATGCAGACGGAAAAGCACGCGCCCGAGAAAGATGCACCGCGGGTGGTGGCAAATGTTCAACCGGACAAACCAGGAATATCGAAATGTCAAGTCTAAGCAGACAGCCAATTACCTATTAAACTGGGTGACCTGGCAATCAAGCCTTTTCCCAGATCACACATCGCAGAGCACCCTGGCATTCAAGTGGTCTACCTATGAGTATCTAAAAGGGCAGCTGCATCTATCCACCCCGGATTTATGATTGTGACTCACCTGGCGATGCAGCTTCAAGTTGCCAGCTAGACGCCCGCCTTGGCCTCCTCCCATTTCTTCTGCACGTCAACTTCGATCTGCTGCAGCAGATCTCTCCTGATGAGATTCCAGGCTTCTGGGTGGGTAATCGAAGCTGCCAACGGAAGGCTCGTTTCTGTTCGGGGAACGCCCCCCTCACTTGCCCAAAGGGCCCAGAAATAAAAGGTTCACCTTTTGGGGCCATGACTACAACTAGACCAAAAAGGAGAAACCAAAAGGTCAGATCCGCTCGATTCGCTTTGGGCAACTGAGCCCCACTTCCATTGGAAAGAGGCTCGCTCGAGGGCTTGGGGTGGCCACTCGCTCGTTTCCGGTTCGCTTCCTGGAGCTTTTCCGACCAAGTCGTCGGATGCCCTGAGACTCCCCCAGAAAGCAGAGCCGCAGAAGCGGACAAAAGCAATAAACATGGGGTGCGGGATTTTGGACCCCCCAACGTGGTGGCGTTTGGTTTTTTTTTCGAAGCATCCAAGAAAGGGTGCCCAAAACAAAAAACCGAGCCACACTCAAACAGCCCTCCTCGCCTGGCTGTGCTTTGCTTTGCCTCTGCCATCGGCTTGCGAGACCTGGGGTGGCGCCAATGGCGCGGCAACGGCCGGAGGATGGACCGGAACCCGGGGCGGCGTCTTGACCAACGACAGTGCAAAGTGTTTGTTTCGCAGGGCAACCGTATTCTCGACCAAGGTTTAAAAAGGGGCAGGGACCCAGAGAGTGCGTGACATCTCCCACCCAAGTAGGCAAAGCACGATTTAGGTTGGAACCTCCTTTTTGAACGGAGCCTGAGCGACTGCACTGTTCAATCCTCGTGTGGGAGATCATGGCCGTGGTAGAAACCTGAAACACATCACTACCCCTTTGCTGAAAGCAGCAGTGGTTTGGGGTAGTGAAGTGTTTAGAGGCAAAACTCTCCTTGTGTCGCACTTGCCAAACCCGTTTCACAATCTTGTGGGACACCCCAAACGGATGAAAGGCGCGCCCAAGGTCCCCGTCTGGCGCGGAGAAGATCATATCACCAATGGCTGGTGCATGATGGTCCCTTTCTTGGGGCTCACCCGCAGACACTTCCACGAGCCAAGCCTAAACCCGAAGCCCAGCTTCAGCCACGCTGGGGGGGGGGGGCAATGCTCCCTTCGGATGATGCTGGGATACAACGAAAGGGCATCCCAGCCAGTTTCCGCCCCAGCGCCATTCCCTGCGCCGTGCCTTGTCGCACTTGCTGCGGCTGAAGAAGACAGCCTCCGCAGGAAAACAACCACATGGCTTGTACCCCCTCATTTGTGGGCGGTTTTCAGGGGTGGCTTGGACATTGGGCTCAAACGCCTGAGGCCTGCGCCGTCTGCAGAGCCGCAAAATTGACATCCACGGGCCAACTTCTGAGCCAAACATCCGGAGGCCGACGTCGCGGTCATTTTTGCACGGGCTGTTGCGGGTGTTGTTTTTGCCATTTTTGCCCAAGGGACGGAGGTTTGAACGTGGGGAGTGCGCGCTTGCCATCCCGCCCGGCAGCTTTTCTCTCTACCACGTCCTTCTTGGACGGTCTACAGCATTGGTCCAGGAGCTTTGCTCCGGGAAAGGCGAGCTGGGGCGCCCGAGAAAAGTTGGTTGTGTCGCGGGGCCTCGAATTTGATGAGAAAAAGCGGTCGGTCCAGGGCTTGCCTGCAGGTCCTTCAGGGCTATTGGTGTTTTCCTCTAGGGTTGGAAAGGGTCTGATGGGGGAAGGACTGGGGGTATGGTAGAGCCTCCCCTCATCTGCCCACGCTTTGGTTTTGGCTCCTCAGACTCCCTGAAGAGACGACAGAACAGCCCTCACAAGCTCAAGAAGTTGTCGAAACCCAAGCAGGTTCCCACATCACCGCAAGGCAAATCGTTTTAAGTGACTCAGGTAGTGTAAAGTTGGGGATGTCTACCGGCAAGCCCTAGGGGCCATTGAAAAGACCGAAAACGCCGACCGGGAGCCCTCAGGGTCCGTAGTTGTATTCCTCACGGCGATTTCGCGGCGGCAAAAATGCACGGAACCACTCACTGCGACAGGGTCATTGAAATTAAAGTGACATCGTCCTGTTGCATATTGCTTGCCCTATGTCTTTGGTTCCTTCCCCCGTTCCTTCCCCCCCCCCGCAAAAAGAAAGCTGACTTTGGCAGCTTCAACGCAGTCAGTGGTCTGCCTGCGGCGGCTGCGAAGGACCTAGCCACCTGCGGCCAAGACTCCGCACGATTGTGCATGATCAGGCGGCCGTCCACAAAGTAGAAGCCTTGGCGTCAAAGCAGCCCCGCACGTGTTTCCCTTTTTTGAATAAATATATATACATATATATATATACATATATATATATATTATTGTTATTATTATTATTATTATTATTATTATTACTATTAAATTATTATTATTACTATTTGTGATTCGGGCACGAGCCTGTGCCCAGGCAATGGGTAAGTAGGGGTAAACAAGCCACAAAAGAAAGGTTCCCCAAAAACAAACCAATCCCCGGTCCCAAAGATCAGGGTTTCCCACACACCAGAGAACAACAACCAAAAGGGAAACAAACCAAAAGAGAAAAGGGTTAACCCGCAACCTTGATCGACAACAGGCCGCACGACTGGTCCCTACCAACCTGGCGGCGGCCCGAGGTCTCTTTCTCCCCCGAGATGCCGTCGGTCGACGCAGGGGTTCGGCGACGCCCATTCGAGGCGCGACGGAACCCAAAACTTGAGCCAAAACACCACAGGTCGCACTACCGACGTCCCTGATGATGAACCATGGCTAATCACACCCCCCTCACGAGGAGCCCGTCATATGACGGGTGGAGCGTGCCATTTACTGATAGGATTTAACTGCTCGCATGTGTCCGCAAACAGCTGGACACTACCGCCGTCAGCGGTGGAGCAAACCCACAAAGGCAGTTGCGCGACATCCCGGGCATTAAATTCCCGCCACCACCCCGAATTAATCGGGGTAACGCTGTCCAACATACCTTGTGGAAAGGTCCACATGACGACACTAGGTCACAACTGTTTGCATCAACAATGCAAGAAGTTTAATTCTTATCAGAAGCCATGAAATAAAAGATAACGTATGTCCATTAGTACCCTCGCCTATCGGCAAGAGGTACTCCTGACCATGCGTACCTGAAAAATGCTTGAATTCCGCAAACCCGGGAGTAACCCCCCATCAGTTTGCTTTCCCTCTCACTCACACTGCTTCCTGATGAACACGACCAGCAGCCCAGCAGCGGTATGGGAGAGACATGATCTCCGCGCCTCAGCGGTTCGGGAGGAACATCACCACCTCCGCACCGCGCCGACCATTGGAGAATGGACGCAAGCCTATCGGCCGCAATCCTCGTGACTCAGCCTATCGGCTATCGTCACGTCTCCTCCGGTCACGTCCGCCCCGCGCACGGTCCCTATCACGATCCCTTTCGGATCTCCTGCGATCATCTCGCCTTCGATCTCGCTCCCGATCGAGTGAATCATCATCACGACGATCACGAGCATCGTCCCTCCTCCGGTCGCGATCATCCTCGCGCCGCGGACGGTATCTGCGCCTTCTCGACTCTCTGGAATCCCTGGTGTCCACGGTCCTAACGGACCTCCGAGAAGGAGTGCGGGAAACGTCCGATTCCCTACGCCTCCTCCCAGAGCGAGAGTTCGTCACGATCTGGTTGAGAGCCTCCAGTGCTGACGCGTCCTCACCATTTCTGATGAAGTCCCTGACTTGCTTGTTCAGCACTCTGTTGGTGGAGACCGACAAGAGAGCGTCCACCACCGAACTCTCAGGCAGCACCAGGAAGTGACCCTCCACCGGGCTCGCCGCAGTTCGCTCAGCCGACTGCAACCTGATCTCACCGCCTTCAGGCTTCTTTGCCATTGCCTTGGAGGCCGTCAGAGGCGCTACCGCGTCCTTTGCCGAAGACCTACCAAGCGCAGAGTGAAGATCATCTCCACTAGCCTCTCTTGCTGCCGCACCTGGTCTGCTGTCAACGTCATCAGGCCTCGTCGATGCCTCTCGCTTCGTCGACTCCTTCACAGTCTCGTCAGGATCCCAACGGGACTTCCTTTCTCTCTTCTGCCCTTCGGCCGACCCCCGGCTACCGCCAGGAGCGTCATCCCCGCCTATCTTCTCCTTCTTGACCTCAACCTTCGGTTCGGCCTGCTTCGTCTCCTTAGCCTCAGCCCTCGGAGCCGGAGCACTCTTCGCCTCAGATACTGAAGCGGCCTTCCCTTTTGGCTCGGCCTTTGGAACCGAGGTCATTTTAGCTTTCGCGCTCGGCCTGGCTCCTTCAACCACCATCGCGGCCCAAGTCTTCTTCGGTTGAGCCACAGTTGCATCAACCTCCATCGGAGCCGGCCCAGCATCAGCCTTCGCTTTTGCCTGTGAGACAGATGGACTATCGCCCTTGCCAGACCCTTTTCCTGGCACTTCACCTGCCTTTGGTGGTGGGCCGGAAGGACTACCGCCCTTACCGCCCTTTTCCCCCTTCTTCCCTTTTCCTTTTCCGCCCTTGACGATCGGCTCCTGCTTAGGACCAGGACCCTGCGCAGCATGATGCACCGATTGAAGCCCTTCGATGTTCACGTCCAATGGCTCCGGTTGACGACCATCAAGAACCGTCCTCACCCTTTCGTCGCTAACGTAGACGAATGGGTCGCGGAAGGGGGCGGGAGGCTCCGACTGCCCGGCACTGATTGCCTTCTGCACCTTGGCTATCGCCTCCTTCAACCTCTTCTTCTCATCGTACCCTGTCTCTGACACCATGTACTTCCTGAGATCCGATATCAACGCATGACTGGCCAGAATGTCCACGTCCTTCCGATGGGTCGGATACAATGGAGTCAGATGACCCGCCGCGGAGCCAATCACGTACGCCATCGGGATATAGAAGGACAAGTACGTGTCGTGGCGAGCGAACTTCCTAACGGAAGTCGTCATACGCCTACCCCACTGAGCAGCATGCACTCGGGTTAGCTCGGAAGTACTCAGTGACCGAATCAAATCTATCGACTTGGTTGGTCTTAATCAGGTGCTTCGCCACCCACTTCTCCACGAACGCATCCGAGGCCGAAATCCCCGACACATAGGAGAATTGGAAGAGCACCTTCGCCAGCTCATCCCACGCCGTATCGACTCCTCCCTTGTCCTCACCAAGATAAGGGGGCAGTCTGATGCCGCTCTGCACCGTCATCCTCAGGTCAGACGCCATCGAATAGGAAATCAAGTTCCTCTTGATGACTCCGACCACTTCGGATGGGATCCTCTTGGGCTTGAACTGTCCCATGCTCCTCACCCACTCCGGGACGATGCGGCACCTCTCGAAGTCACTTTCGTCCGCGTTAGGGATGAAGTTCGGGTAGAAGACCGGGAGCGCACACCCAGGGCACAAATGCATCCCATTTGGCGTCATCTCCGCGCACCTCAAACAGAACGTGGTGGTCACATTCAACCTGACCTCTTCACGCGATCGCCTGTGCTCCCCCCTAACGGGGGTAAAGTCACCATAGTCCCATGCCCGATGATACACTATCGTGTAATCATCGTACATGTATGCTGCCTTCCAAGCGCCCATGTGGATCTCGTTCCGAACGGCAAGGGTCTTTCTCCTCGTCAGAAACACGGGTCCAACCAATGACCAGTGTACCCGAAGGTCCACGATTACCACCACGTACCTTCCCGAGTAGTTCCGCAGCCTGTCCCTGACGTACCACGAAGGCGATACCTCGGCATTCGGACACATCGGGCCTCGTGATCAATATCTCGATCATGGCCTTTCCGTTTCGCCTCACCTTCTGGAGCTGAACTGCCCTCCTAAAGTCTGAGAACTTCATGATGACATACCCCACCATAGGGAGCTCATTCCAGTGCATCTCGTACATCAGAGATCCGCCAGGTGCATCTTCTTGGGTGTACCTTTGCCTAACGGCACTGTAGCTCATGTCACGTCCGATCCGCGTGTACCTAACGGCCACTAACCTAGTGCTCTCCTTGAGGAGGACACCATTCCCATCGTACATGACCATGAGCATCGCCTCAACTTGTCCTATCGGGAAAGCTTTGATCGTCGGAATGAAGAACTTCCACGACATCTCGGCGTTCTCCATGCCCGTGATCTCCCTCAGGAACCAGATGGCCTGGTCACTATTCACCCAGTTTCCAGCCTCACGTCCAGTTTCCTTCAGCACGTGCTCCTCGAATAACTCCGAGACTTTCTTCGAATTGATGGCCAGACCTTCAAAGTCGCATGAGAGCAGTCTCATCAACTCCTTAGCCGCCTCCCGCCCTGCAACGGTGCCCGCGGTTTCCTCGTAGTTCGGGACGTACTCGCCCAACCTTGTCTTCGAGGGAATCACAATCTGGCATGTAGCGGCCTCATCAGGGAT